TATATTTTACAATGCAATTTACTTCCAAAAGTTTGTCCAAACTATGTTAATGTCAAAAGTAATTTGCAATGGTGTTCAGTCACCATTTCAGCCAAATTCTGGTGTGGTTCGCTTTTGTGTTTCTAAATCCAGAAAACGGATTTCACACTAACCGAACGAGACGAACGCTGGTGTCAAAACGCCTCAGTTCTGCTCCAACAAGCTCTAAAGTGAAAGCGCCCTTAAAGAGATCAGTCCACATGGAAACAGATGTGTGGCTATGTCTGAGGGAGCACTTACTTGATGTAGTAGGGCACTTTATTCTGGGACACTGCTCTCTGCCAGGGCAACTGCACCGAAGCTGCGGACACATAATTAAAGATTGATTAGAGTGGAGATCAGGGGTCTGATCACGATGCTGTTGGTAAATGAAGCATTAATTAAAAACATCACTCTCATATCAGCGGATTAGCGCGCTTTTAATTTCTCCAGACACTGAAGTATCGTTCCTGAGGTTCACACTGGATATATATATCACACAACTGCACTCTCAGCAGAACTTACTGTATGAAACACTGCTTTCACAGCGCATGCCATGGGATTCAGGATGTTACAACTTCAAAGAACTCAAAAGTTCTGAGTGATGGTCTTAAGTAAAGAGCTTTTCACGTGTCTCATGTCAGCATTACACAATACACTGAACTCTATGGATCGAAGCCTCAAACTGCAGAGTTACTTCTGGCACAAGCATGGATGGGAAAGGAAGGAAGGAAGGTAACAAGGTTCAAAGGAGAAAAGAAAAAACCTTGACCTCATTTGCTGTCAACATTTCGTGAAGGAAAAAGCAAAAAAAAATGACAAAAGTAGGTATGGGGTATGAGAGAATATTTTGTTTCATGCACTGTTATTGTTACATCTTGTTATTTCATTCAACGTAACTGGCACATTTTCATTGCCAATAAAGGAAACATTAAAACTGATAAAATAAAACGAGTGTGTGTGTGTGTGTGTGTGTGTTAATGACTGCTCTTGACAGAGAACACAGTGGACAATTAACCTCTGAATTAGTAAACACAAAAGCAGTGTTAAAGTGTATCTGTGTGTGCTGCGGTGTCTGATTTTCTACACTATCTGACAGTGGCTGCGTCATTTTTCATGGCTGAGAGCTATTGTTTGTCTGCAAATTTAAACTTGTGCCAATTAAAATCTAATTATTTTTGTCCCCTCATTAAGAATGAATCGGCAAACCTCTGTGAATACAACACTGCTTCTATTAACACTCTACACAAGCTGTTATATCTGTGAATATTGTATGAACGTTGAATATTAAAACAAAAGTAGAGTAACAACTGAAAAATGTTGACAAAAAAGAAAAAAGAAAGATGTAAGTAAGATGCAAGTCTCTTAGTAAAGCAACATCAGACATTTGTTCAACAAACTGCATGATTTGAAGTATCATGTCAATTATGTTGATAAGCTTTGCACTTTAATACCCTTGGTTCCAAGTTTGATCAAATCTCTAATCATATACAGCAGTAGTATATGTGTAAGCATATGTATAAGCATCTGAAAAGATGTGTAACCAGCAAAGTGTGAAGTATGTTATGTTTTAAATATGGGCGTGCTTCCCACTTGACTTCTTAACTAGTTCAACCAGCAAGACTTTACTTGTCAACCAACTTCACTAGCTGCTGGTGAACTGTGTTGGTCCACCAACTAGACCAGCTCCAAACTAGCACTAACCATTGGAAATTGATGCTAGTCTAAGCTGGACTTTTCAGGAGGGGTAGTAAAAGTAATCGACTCGCTCTTTAGGCTGCGCTGGAGACCAGTGAAATAAAGCTGACATCATAGTGTGAATTTATTCATGTGTTTTGTACTGTTTTAAAGTGGGTTAGTGACTCACTGGATAAGAAGTGTTGAGAGGAAGGTCCAAAATCCCTGTGTGCTTCCTGTAAGAGCTTCGACCTGTCCTCTACAGCCGCCTGGAGAGAGACAGAGACAGCAAGAGACAGAAAGTTAGGTTGGCTGCTAAATGGAATATGACAATATGAAAAATGCATCCACACAGTCACAGCAGGGCACAAATCTCAGCACATGACAGACAGTGATGAACAGACACACTCAGACATGGTCTTTCTGCACTGAGTGTGCTAAACAGATCCCGAGGAAAACAGATACAGTCTCATCAAAGCTCACACATAAACACACACGCACAAAACATTTGAGAAGCACATGCACTCTTACACACACAGACTGCACTAATGACATTTATTAGAATCATTCCTTAGGAAAAAGAACACAAAAGAGAAGGAAACGAAAAGAAAGAAAACAAATAAACAAAAGAAAGACAGGGCAGGGCAGGAAAGGAAATAAAATGAAAAAGGAAAGGGAAGGGAGGGGAAGGAAAAAGGAAAGGAATGGAAAAAGGAAAGGAAAGAAAGGAAAGGAAAGGAAAGGAAAGGAAAAAGGAAAGGAATGGAAAAAGGAAAGAAAGGAAAGGAAAAAGGAAAGGAAAAAGGAAAGGAAAGGAAAAGAAAGGAAAGGAAAAAGGAAAGGGATGCAAAAGGGAAAGGAAAGGAAAGGAAAGGAAAGGAAAAAGGAAAGGAATGGAAAAAGGAAAGAAAGGAAAGGAAAAAGGAAAGGAGAAAGGAAAGGAAAGGAAAGGAAAGGAAAGGAAAAAGGAAAGGGATGCAAAAGGGAAAGGAAAGAAAGGAAAGGAAAAAGGAAAGGAAAGGAAAGGAAAGGGATGCAAAAGGGAAAGGAAAGAAAGGAAAGGAAAAAGGAAAGGAATGGAAGGAAAGGAAAAAGGAAAGGAAAGGAAAGGAAAGGAAAAAGGAAAGGAATGGAAAAAGGAAAGGAAAGGAAAAAAGAAAGGAAAGGAAAAATGAAAGGAATGGAAAAAGGAAAGGAAATGGGAAATGAAAAAGGAAGGAAATTAAAAAGAAAAGGAATATGCAGAGCACCTGCATGAAAGGAACAAGAAGAGGAAGGTGGAGGACAGCAAAAGGGAACAGAAAAACAACAGGGAAAAGGGAAAAAAGTAATAGGGAATAAAGGAAAAGGGAAAGGCAAATAACAGGAAAGGACCTGCAGTAGTTTCCAGCGCATGTTGAGGTTGTCTAACTGGCGGTTGGTGGTGGAGGACAGCTGGACGTCCAGTGGGGTCAGCTGACCTGCCAGATCATTCACAGCCCGGACATCCTGTTTCAGAGGCGCGATCTCATCACAGAACACCTGAAACACACACACACACACACACAGAAATAAATCACATTACAGCCTTTATCTCTGCATATCGCCCAAACACAAACTTAAACAAATCATCAGCCGGAGCGCTTGGCAATGACTCATACAGTACCATGTGTGAGAGGTGTAACAGCGTCATCGTGGGATAAAACTATAAAAATAGCTTCAGGCAGGAAAATGATTAACTAGAATAATCCTTAAAGGAATAGTTCACACAAAAATGGAAATTCTGTCACTATTTACCCTCCCTTGTGTTCTTCAAAACCCAAAGGATTATATTTCTACTGTGGAATGAGTTAAGGAGGAGATGTTAGACTGGATGTTCACATAGCTCTTGTCCATACACTGGAAATAAAAAATTACCAGAGTCTGTCATACTCCAAACACAACACAATTTTATTATCTTTTAGGGTGCGTTTTTGTCATTTTTGAAGCTTGACAACCACTATTTCCTGGTATTGAAAAGCATCCTAATGAACATCTTATTTTATGCGCCACAGAAGAAAGTAAGTCATACAGGTTTAGAATTAAATGGAGGTGAGTAAATTCAATTCAATTCAATTCAATTCACGTTTATTTGTATAGTGCTTTTCACAATACAAATCAAATTGAAAGTTTCTACATTATATTTAGGAGTAGCTCCTAAATACAGTGAATTTAGGAGTAGCTCCTAAATATGATAAATGATGACAGAATTATATTTTTTAGATGTAATAATGGCAACATTCGTGAATAAGACCAGTTTTAGGCTCACCGTTGCTTTCTCAATGTGATCCTGTAGGGAATCTATGAGAAGGTCTCCCACGGGTTGCCATCCAGCTTTGAGCTCCTCGGCCTGGGCTAGACGCAGGTCCAGTTGGTCCATGGAGCTCTGGAGATCCTGGAGTTTATCTAGTGCTCTGTCCACCTGCTCTTGCCAGGTGCCCGCGTGTCCCATGAGCCTCTCCCAGCGCTCGCCCACCTCTGCAGTCTGCTTACGGATCGCTTTAGCCACCCGCTGGGCCTTCTCCTCTGGGCTCAGCTCTATGAAAAACCACAGACGCAAACTCCATTTAAGTCACGTCTTCACTTCAGTTGACCTCAATTAAGTTCATTTTGGAAGCTTTTGTAATAAAAGGTAAATTCAGCAGGCAACAAGGCATTCTATTATTGGGATGGTTTCTAGTTCTGTGATGTCATGTCTGAGCACAAAAACACACAAACTACGGGCTTTATCACACCTGGCTCACTTTCCCTGGATTTCTTTCAGAACCTGCCATGTTTTCTCCTTTAGTTTGGTTAGTTTATGCATAAAACCATTTCAAAAGATGGCAATTGCATTTGGATCCACATAAAAAATTTCAGACAGTCTAAAATTGTCTGAACAATCTGGTCTCAGCCTGATTGAGTAAAAGTACAGATATCTTACAGCGAAAACGACCATTACAAGTTCCATTCCATTCCATTACAAATTACAAACCACCATTTAAACAGTAAGTGTTTTACTCATACTGCATGTAGGCTCAAAGATGCACTAGTCCTCAACCCCTAAGATAATTTTCAGTGAAAAACAAGAGACTCAGAAAGAGCTTTATTGCCAAGTGTGGTTACACACACACACACAAGGAATTTTTCTTGGTGACAGAAGCTTTCAGTACACAGACAGGTTGACAAGTGACAAGACACAGATAACAAAAAATAAAAATAAGTGTGTAAAAATAAATATGTAAAAACAATACACAATAGACAAGAGACAATAAACAGTATATTGTATGTACAGATGTGCTATAGACAAATTATGCAAGGGAATGTGGGTAGATGTAAGATGTATAAGTCACTAGCATACGTATAATAAATATAAGTACAGATAGTTGGGTATTGCACATTTTTTATTGCACAGTGACGAGAACATTTAACTGTTCATGAGGTAGATGGCCTGAGGGAAGACACTTTTCCTATGTCTGGCTGTTTTGGTGCTCAGTGCTCTGTAGTGCCGGCCAGACGGCAACAGTTCAAAGAGGGAATGTGCTGGATGTGAGGGGTCCAGAATGATTTTACCAGCTCTTTTACTCACTCTGGATGAGTGCAGTTTTTGGAAAGTGGGGAGGGTTGTGCCAGTGATTTGCTCAGCTGTTTGGATTATCCGTTGCAATCTTCTAAGGTCTGATTTGGCAGCTGAGCTGAACCAGACTGTTATAGAAGTGCAGAGGATGGATTCAATGATGGCCGAGCAGAACTGTGTGCGCAGCTCCTGTGACAGGTTGAACTTCCTCATCTGGTGAAGGAAGTACAACTTCTGCTGGGCCTTTTTCACAATGGAATCAATGTGATTGTCCCACTTCAGGTCCTGAGAGATGGTGGTGTCCAGGAACCTGAATGACTCCACTGCAGTCACAGTGCTGTCCATGATGGTGAGTGGGGGGAGTGCAGGGGGGTTCCTCCTGAAGTCCACGATCATCTCCACTGTTTTGAGCGTGTTGAGCTCCAAGTTGTTGAGACTGCACCAGACAGCCAGCTCTTTAACCTCCTGTCTGTAAGCAGACTCGTCACCATCCTGGAGGAGGCCGATGAGTGTGGTGTCGTCTGCAAACTTCAGGAGCTTGACAGAGGTGTCTTTAGAGGTGCAGTCGTTTGTGTAGAGGGAAAAGAGCAGTGGGGAGAGCACACATCCCTGAGGGGCACCAGTGCTGATGATGCGGGTGTTGGATGTGAATTTACCAATTCTCACTAGCTGTTGTCTATCTGCTTTAAGTCCACGAACAGGATCCTTGCATAAGTCCCTGATTTGTCCAGATGTTGCAGGATGTAGTGCAGTCCCATGTTGACTGCATCATCCACAGACCTGTTTGCTTGGTAAGCAAACTGCAGGGGGTACAGCAAGGGTCCTGTGATGTCCTTCAGATAAGCCAACACCAGTCTTTCAAAAGACTTCATAACCACAGACGTTAAAGCAACAGGTCTGTAGTCATTAAGTCCTGTGATTTTGGGTTTCTTTGGGATGGGGATGATGGTGGAGTGTTCGAAGCAGGCAGGGACTTTGCACAGCTCCAGTGATCTGTTGAAGATCTGTGAAAAGATGTGGGCCAGCTGGTCAGCACAGGATTTCAGACAGGCTGATGAAACACCACCTGGGCCTGGTGCTTTTTTCTCTTCTGCTTCCTGAAGACCTGACGCACATCATCTTCACTGATCTGAAATGCAGGAGTGGGGGAGAGGGGGGTTGCTGGAGGTGTTGATGGCTGTGTAGAGAGTCAGGGCGGGTGTGGGGTGTGAGACCGGGAGTTTCAAATCTACAATAAAACTTATTCAGGTCTTCAGCAAGTTGTTAATTCGCCTCAGTGTTGGGGAATGTTGTCTTGTAGTTTGTGATGTCTTTAAGACCTTTCCACACTGAAGCAGGGTCGTTGGCTGAAAACTGGTTTTCCAGCTTTTTAGCGTAGCTCCTCTTAGCTACTCTAATCTCCTTATTCAGTGTGTTTCTGGCCTGATTATACAAGACCCTGTCCCCACTCCTGAAGGCATCCTCTTTGGCCTGACGAAGCTTCCTGAGTTTTGCTGTGAACCATGGTTTGTCGTTATTGTATGTTAAATGAGTCCTGGTAGGAATGCACATATTCTCACAGAAACGTATGATGCTACAGAATCTGTGAGCTCATCCAGATCATTGGCAACAGCTTCAAAAACTCTCCAATCAGTGCAGTTGAAACAGGCTTGTAAAAATTGTGAGGAGAGCAATCACATTTATTTTCTAAAATAAAAAAATAAAACTTCAAAACTGCAATAAATTAAGGTCGACACAATAGCCCCTTAAACGTCTACAAACAAACAACCTTCAAAAAGGTCTCAGCCATGTCCGCCTCTCATATATGAAACACCTGCGATTCACAACTACCTGCCACTGCACTTGCATTTGCGTAAAAGTTGCCTTGTTGACAAGTTTGGGTGATTGAGACATTGTACCTTCAATGCCCTGTAGATGGCAATATCATTTCTTTTGTATCAAAAATAAACTGCTACAGAAGCAGTAAGGTGTCATGCAAAATCTACTGGTGTACACAATACACATACTTATTCAAAAATGTCAAGTAGTGAGTAAAAGTTTCTTCAATTTTTGATACTCAGTAAAACTACAAAGCAGCCAAAAACATACTCATGTACAGTAACTAATTACATTTACTCAAATACTTTATACCTCTGATTTAACGGCCATAATGGATAATTTACCTCAGATTTTGGAAATAAATGAGTTTGCTTTGAATTTAAAGGATACAATAACTTGTGTGTTCCATGACATACTGTATCAGTCGCTTTTGATCATGTTAAAGTGGTGTCATTCATTAATCTGATGTGTATTCATCCATTTGCCGTGAGTGTGAGACAGCAGTGCTCTTGCAAAGAGTCTGCCTACACACTCGTCTGATTGGCTGTAATTTTGATTGATTTCATCGCATCTCATATCCAGACAAACTGCTTGTTGATTGAATCTTATCATATCAGTTAGAAGACAGTATAAAATTGCCACATACTGTCTGGAACACCCTTCGCGTTTGGGATACACCTACTGTAGGATTCCTTAAATGTTGCCGATGGGATGCTTGCTAGGTTTCAGAATAGACTGATACAAACAGTCTCACATTTATCAATACGACCACAACTTGACTTTTCAAGTTTTCCACATTGCAACTGACCGTGTTTAGAGAACATGATCGGTGCACGGTCACCTAAGAAAGTGTTTACTAATGAGTCCACTCAACTAATGAGCTAAATAGAGAAAGGTTTACAGATGACAGGAGGCAGATGTTTGGGCAATTTAGAAAGTGCCTAGGGCATGTCTACAGGCAGGGCTACAGCATTAACAGCTGCTCTTTCATTCAGCTTCCAGGCTTTCTGAGGACGTGAGAAGACACTTTAGCTAACGTCACCGTCACAAATGGCAGGACTGATTTCTTCATTCGGCAAATGCTCACCTCTATCTTTCATCTTTATATTTCTGTTTCAGCCGTGCGAGAATCAATTTACAATTCAAATGCGTTCAAGCGTTTCTGGAAAGGTTTGAAATTCAATTAAGATCCAGGGGTTGAATGGAAATGAAAGTGACGGTGTGGCAGTGGCTTGTTTATGCTTGTTTGATGACGAACACTGGAACCGATTGCTTTGCATTTTAAAACATATAGTTCAATTTGGAAAACATGCAGTTCAATTTGGAAAACATGCATTTGCGTGAACATTAGTGGTGTATGATTTTATCTGGGTAAGCTGCTCCCGCTGTGTGTTTGCGCGGGGCGGCAGAGCGCGTGAGCTGGTTATCGGTTCAGATAGCTGAGCTCTGCACTTTGATCGCAGGGATAAGAGAACATGGAAGCACAAAGATCACTCAAGGACTCAATGGAGGCATGTGAGATTGCTCTAGGTGTTCAAAGTGAGGCATGTGGAGATAGATCAGAAAACACTGCCCTGCTGAACCCAGCTGACTTCAATAGGAAAAAATGTGAAAGTGCAAAGTTGTGGTAAGAATATTAAATAAGCATATAAGCCGAGTCACACTGAATCTGCACCTTCAAAATTCCTTGATTTACTGTCAAGTTCTACATGTTTTCTGCATGTTTATTTCAGGGCTTTTAAATATATTAATTAATATACAATATAAGATTAATATAAATAATATGAATGCAAAAATATAATATAAAATATTTTATTATATAATATTATTAATATTATATCACTACTATATAATAATAATAATAATAATAACAACACAATTAAATAACATAGATTATGGAAGCCCTTTTCCACCACTTAATACAAAAATAAAACAAGGTAATTGTGAATTTTTCTCACATTTCTGACTTTTTTTCTCGCAATTGCGAATTTACATCTCGCTATTCTGACTTCTTTTCTCGGAACTGTGAGATATAAATTGCGTTTTATAAAGTCCAATTCTGTGAAAAAAAAAAGACTATTTTCTTACAATTCCGAGTTTATATCTCACAGTTCTGACTTTATTTCTCAGAATTACATGGTTATATCACACAATTCTGTCTATAACATGCAATTGCGAGTTTATATCTCGCAATTCTGAGAAAAAAGTCATAACTGTGATATAAAAAGTAATTTTTTTAAATTAAATGGGCTTCCATAACAGCTCGCTATGATTTATGATGATTAATCACAAAGGAAAGTGGAAAAACATTAACATCGCCTCATTAACAAAGAAGTGAAAAAATGCTGAATTAAAGCAGCACTATGTAACTTTTGGCGCTCTAGCGGTTAATAAACAGAACTGCACACATCCCGCGGAAGAACATTCCAACCGGAGCTACTTCTCTAAGTTTATGTCTATGGCGATTCACGCAGGTATGTGTTACTCCGCAGCGGTGACGACCTGACCAGGCTACAATAGTCCAAATATAAGTACTTATTATAAGTGTACTGTAGTGATTCGGAATAAGACAAAAACAAGGTTTGGAAGATGAATTCATGATGTACTCGCTCATTATATACATTTAGCAAATTTTGAACAGAAAAAGTTACATAGTGCTGCTTTAACTGTACCTTATTTCGTCTAAAATTGCACTTTTTGTCATAGCCCAGTCTGTTTAAATATTTAGCCTAATTTGATAATGTTGTCAGACACAACATCTTTGTGTTGCACAGAGTTAGGAAAGTCAAATCTAAATCTCTAATACAGGTTACAGCACACCTCTCCTCAAGCGGCCACATGATTTGAGATGTCCTTCATGTCTGTAGCTCAGGACGTAACAGTTCAGGACGAGTTACACAGAAAAGTAAAAAAAAAAGAGTTTAATGTTTGTTTCAATCACTAAGCCTCAGTACAGGCAGCAGTAATAGTTCTGCTTGCCTTAGTGAACACTTTCAGCTCTAGATGACTTTGGTGTTTTCTGAAAGACAGAAAACACTGAGCTTCAGGACTCTGAAAAGTGGAAATATCCAGCAGTCTCTGATCTGCCAATTAACCCGGTTTCACTGGGCATTCGCACACTCCTCCTAAACGCCTGCGCATGCCTACGCACATACACACACTTCACAAGCAGCTCTCTTTCTATCTGATAAGTGATGTCTGACGTTCGTCCTAAATTAGCTTTTCAAGCGGGTCCCAGCGGAAGTGTCCAGAGAGCCGTGGAACTTTCCAGACATCAGATACTGCAGTTAAGAGTGTGTTGACAGGAGGTGTCCGACTTATCAGAGAGTCACTTACATCAAAGAGCATCCCTCAGAGAGTGTCAAAATAAACTCCGCTGGTCTGGATGATGTGTGTGTGTGTGTATAATGTTCTCATACTGGTCTTAAGTTTCTGCAGAGGGGTTTTTAAGTGCAGAATGTTTACTGTAAAGGTTTCTCTCTCCTTGCTTCATAAAGCATGTGACTTGACAAGACTTACGCATTTCTTCCCTTTCCTCTCTACTTTTATTTTCATTAAACATATGGGAGGATGGTAGGATGAAGAAATAATAAGCTCTCACCGGTTTTGGGTTGTAGGTTCTTGCGTGGCTCTTCGGGTCCTTCGATCGGCTGGTCGGCCAGAAACATGCGTGCCTGATCCAATGTGCTGAGAACTAAATGCTCACGCTCCTTAAGCTCCGCCCTCAGAGCCTGAAAACACAATCAGTTAACATCACATCACATCCTGTCAATCAGTCATTAACAGAGCTTAATTAAAGAAATCAGCAGAAATAAGAAAAAAAATGGGTGGGGAAAAACAATTATCGTTAAGAAAACAGTCGACCAATTAACAGAGAGAAATAAAAAGATAAATAGATGGATGGACTAGATAGAGAAACTGACAAATAAAAAAACAGAAATGGATGGATGGATGGATAGATAGACCGACAGACAGACAGAGAGAGATACAGATGGATGGACGGACGGACGGATGGATAGAATTAACAACAGTTTTGCCAGACTACTTTTGGATTTCTTTTCATGAATTTCATTCTTTTAATCAGACACAGTCCGTCATTTTCTGACAGTATGCGTTCATTGTTTATGTAAGCCAGCACTCCATCCAAGAGTGTGTGTGTGCTTGTGTGTGAGCAGGAGATCAGTGAGAGCAAAATGAAAAACAAAGAGATCAAGAAAAGGTGAGAATGAGGGCAGTGAAGGACTGATAGGGTGCACATATAAAACGGACATTGAAGTGCAATTGCAAACACAATCTCCGAGGTCAAACGAGGCATTTCCGCAGGGTCACACGCAAATTAGCCAAACTAATAGCCGTTCTCTAACTCTTACAAAACTAATTCCTGCCTTCAGGCAGCACAGGACTTCTGCACAGTCAGACACACACACACACACAATTAAATGAACAGCCAAATCTCAGCGGAGAGGAAAACTGGATTACCATTCCTCTGATAGTTGGGCCCCTCAGGCTCGACTGGAGAGCAGGGTCACGGCACCCTCCACACTTCTGAAACGGTCGTTAAACAGAGCCGGAGGAAGTGATAAGCCTTTTAATTACATCCTGCTACAGTAAACCTAGCGAGCACCAGCCGCACATTAGAGGCCCGTGATGAGGACAGAGAGGAAGAGGAGCGGTCCATTAAACAGCATTACGGAGATGTTAAGGACCGATATTAAAAAAATCATGAAGATTAGAGTAAGATGAAGAAAGAGACACATATAAGGTCAAAGAAGAACCTCATATATGAGCGTGTGTGTGTGTGTGCAGCTCGCTGGATGATACACGGCAATGGATAGACTGCACTGCTTTACTACTCTGAAGACTACTGGGATAAGGATGTAAACTAGTGAATATCACCTACATTTTTGTGTGTTTTAGCTATGGCAGTGGTCCTAACAGCATTAAATATCCAATATACACATAGCTGTGATTGCACAGCAATTGGATTGCTTATTAGGGTCTGTTTATACTACAACAACTGTACTCAAATTAGAAAACACATTTAAAGGTGGGGTAAGCGATTTTTCAAAAACGCTTTAGAAAACTGATTCGGGCCGAATAGCAAAAGATACATTTTTAAGGGCCGAATCGCAAAACAAACTTGTAGCCAATCAGCAATAAGGGGCGTGTCTACTCGTGATGTGGAGGAGAGAGCTTTCAGTGCATAGGACGGACATTAGCTGAGCCGAGCGACAGAAAGATAGAGATGGCGGATAAAAAACAAAAGAGGAAAACGTCTGCGGAACAAAAGTAGGCTTAAGGCAATAAGGCAAGAAGTAGGACCCATGTAAATATGGGATCAGCTTTCCAGCGCTGGAGAGAACTCAAGGAGCGGAAGGCCTGCGATCGGACGCCGAGGTTGCTTTGTTTCTTCTCGATAGGCGAGTAACACCGTGTCTGCACCGCAACAGCTAAAGTCTGTCTAGTACACTGGACGCGACAAAGCGGACCGTTGAAAATCATTTGAAATTTGTGTCAATACGTCATGAATAGAATGCAGAAGTTTTCTGTCGGGGATTTGTCGTGTCGTGTCGTGCCGCATCCAGTGTAGACCATAGATATGTATATATATATCCATGGTGTAGACCGCATCACTGATTATAATGAGTTCTATAGTATTTTGTCGCGCTGCGCCACTCGCGTCCGGTGTAGACACGGTGTAACATTGGTTTTGCTTTGTTTCACAGAACTAATCATTGCCTGGGTTGCGTACGTATGTATGGGGCGGAGTAATCAAAATAGGGGCATGTTTGTTTTGGTGATTTCAAATGTCAACACTGGTTACCAGAAATCGCTTACCCCACCTTTAAAACAATTCCTATTCACACGGATCCACTGAAACTACTAAAAGTGCAGTATTATGCATGCCAGGCCAGTAGATGGCGATGACTGAACACATAATACGCATGTGCACGACGTCAATCATTTTCACAAATTCGCTTTTTTGTAGTGTACATAGAGACGATTATGGTATAGTTCTCAAAAACTTGCACTTTAAAACCCAATTTCAAAAACACTGTTGTCATGTAAATTAATGGCCAAAATGCAAAAAGGTTTTCTGTTTTTTGCTGAAAACGGTGTTGTGTAAACACCCTTTTAATCTGACAAATTGTGACTCACCTCAACAACTGTACACATCTCTGCTTTGCAACAGTCCTTAAGTTCTTCCTCATCCTGAGTAGTTTGGGATAAACCACGCTTTGCTTTTTACTAATGTTTGCTTTTTTCTTCTTCTTCTTTTGACTTGACCACTGATAGTCACAAAAATAAATACCATGGTTTAAACTGTATAACCTTAACCAGCCTAAATATACAGTTTCATTAAAGGCTTAGTTCACCCAAAAATGGAAATTCTGTCATTCTCACCTTCATGTCATTTCCATAAGACTTGGGTTCAGCTTCGAAACACAAGTGAAGATTTTTTTAATGAAACCTAATGAAAGATATTTCTGTCCCTCCACTGAAAGTCCATTGACGCATTAAAAAGTTAATAAAAACATTGTAAAAGTAATCCATATGAATCCAGCAGATTCACATAAACACTGATGGCGTATAAACAGTGATCAACATGCATATATTAACAGAAGGTCAACTGTACTTGCTTGACATGCAGGAGCCAGTGAGGTCGGTTCTTGCACATTAAGGATGTTTGAGCTTCCATATAGCATATTTGATGTGATCTATGCATATACATTTTTATTACGTCTAAAGTATTTCTGTTTATCATAAAGAGGGTGTAGTAATGTTTTGCCCATGTGCCACTGCATTTGGTTTAATCACTTTCAACTCATTCAAAAATAAGAAAACGAGAACTTTTCAGATTAAGAAAAAGTTAATAACATTTTTTAAAAAGATAATCCGATGGATGCGGTTGATTTTCCAACCATCATATATATGGTCTTGCCTCCATCTTAGCTCTATCAATCACAAAATAAAAGTCCTCTTCCAACTAAATAATCTTATTTATAATAAAATATGACATCAAATAAAGCACACAATTGATATATTCACAAATATATGCTAAATAGCTCCAACAAAGTGATAGTGTGTCTTCAGAAGACTAAACGGCTCGATTCATATGGATTACGTTTATGATGTCTTCATGAACTTTTTTAAAGTTTGAAAGTTTTGGACTTTCATTAAAGGAACAGAACTATTTCAGGTTTCATGAAAAATGTCTCCGTTTGGGTTTTGAAGATGAATGGAATTCTTATGGGTTTGGAACGACATGAGGGTGAATAATCATGACCATTTTTATTTTGGGGTGAACTATCCCTTTAAGATGCCTCTTGTAGCTGAAACATGCTTTAGTAAACAACCTTCACCATCAGTGGCAAAAATCAGATATCTCTTCCATCTCTCTCTTTCACGAAGATGATTACTGTTTCCACTTTTAAAGCCAAAAAGCAGCAAACTATCATAAGTGCTCTCCCTGAGCTCTTAAAACACTTCTGACAGACACAAACAGCCAAACACAAAAGCATGCACATTCACAGTCCTAAATGGCACATAATGAATAACCTCTGTGCCTGGAGTGAAAGGCCATTGAAAACCATGAAATGGCAAACCGCTCCACACATCCGGAACACCTTTAAAAGACTCCCAAACAAGCACTCTAATGGCTCAGCTCCAGCCAAAACACCCTCGAGGCTAGTTTTTGGGGAGGATGGATGTGGAGAGACTGTACTGTCTGTCAGCTGTAGCAGCCTTTTGCCCTTGACAGCCTGAAGCTCAGGTCGAAGATGCTGGAGTGGTGCCAAAGTGCCACTTATAGCAACGCACAGCAACAATAATTACCTCCGCGCTGCTTTCATCAGTTCAGAATGATGTCACTCTCACGTTTTAATTGAACTGAACAGACATCGTGTATAAGTCAGACTGGTGCAGGTTCAGGACAGTTAGGCATCCGTGGCATGCTGTTGATTACAGCAGAAAAGAACTGTGTAACTTGTTTCGAGGAAAACAAACAGAAAATGTGTCTTTACAGTAAAGCACATACAGTGGACGTCTAAGATTGAAGACTGAAAAGCTTGCAGTTTTGTTAAAGCATTTAAATGAAATCATTTGTGCAAAAATATGTTATTTGAAGTTATTTTCAGGTGGAACTACATTTCAAGTCTTGTGAGAAGTTCATATAAATTCATACTGGAAGTTTTACACTGTGAATTATTTCATGCATGAATTATTAAATCACAAAGTAATATTTTTAATGTTTGTTTTTACTTTTAAACAAGTGAAAAATCATGTCAATAACTTTTTTTTTTCAATATATTTGATTTTGAGGGAGTTACTTATCTAGCCACTGCAGTGGAAACCATGCAACAATGGTATAAAAAGTGATTCAATAGAACTCATTGTTTGGTCTGAAAAAAAAAATGGTTTTAAAACATTTACTAAGTGCAAATGGTATGAATACACATAAGAAGGCTTAAGAAGTCTGTCTGACGTTTTTCATCCAAATTAACCTCTTTATCAGACACCTAGGCTATTATGCATGGGTTTCTATCTAAGTACTGTACTTCTGAATGGGCTGAGGCTGGGATTTAGCTGGTTTGAAGTTGAAGTATTTGATGATCGTATACTATGTGCAGAAAGCATTCACTCAATATCCCTATCTCATTTTTGACAGATGTGGCTTTTTCTTTGGAAGTCTTGGAGCATTAAATAACAACAATAGAAAGGACATTTGAAA